TGATGATTGCCTCCCATCACCCACCACCCTCTGGGTCCTACCACAGAGCCAATTCCCCAGCCAGAGGATCGTGGTGATGCCGAGGCCGCAGTTAGCTGGTTTTGCTAAGAGGTGATCATAGGATACCAGATCAAAGGCTTTTTTAAAAGTCAAGATATATGATCTGGATAGGTTACAGGGGTGGGCAAACAGGAACAGGATGTGTTTCAATACGGACAAGTGCAGGGTGCTGCACTTGGGTAGTAGGAACCAGCAGCACACTTATACGATGGGGAACTCCCTACTTGAGAGCACGGAGGCGGAAAGGGATCTTGGTGTCATTATTGACTCCAAGATGAACATGGGCCGACAATGCGAGGTCATGGTTGGCAGGGCTAACCGGACCTTGTCGTGCATCCACAGGTGCATCTCGAGTAGAGCCAGGGAGGTGATCCTCCCCCTCTATGCGACGCTGGTCAGGCCGCAGCTGGAGTATTGTGTCCAGTTCTGTGCGCCCCATTTCAGGAGGGATGTGGACAACATGGAGAGGGTCCAGAGGAGGGCCACCCGCATGATCCGGGGACAACAGGGCAGACCCTACAGTGAGAGACTGCGGGACCTGAACCTATTCAGCCTCCACAAGAGAAGGCTGAGGGGGGACCTGGTGACCGTCTATAAACTCACTAGGGGGAACCAGAAGGGTTTGGGGGAGACGCTGTTTCCCCTAGCCCCCGCTGGCATAACAAGGAGTAATGGGCACAAGTTGATGGAGAGGAGGTACAGATTGGACATCCGAAAAAACTACTTCACAGTCAGGGCGGCTAGGAGCTGGAACCAACTTCCAAGGGAGGTGGTGCTGGCCCCTACCCTGGGGGTCTTTAAGAAGAGGCTGGATGCCTACCTGGCTGGACTCATTTGAGTCCCGTTTTTGTTTTTAGGGTGAGTGGTTTTGTTTGTGTTTTTGGGTTGTTCTCCCGCCCTGGCGGGGGGTCGGGCTAGAAGATCTATTAGGTCCCTTCCAACCCTAAAACTATGAAACTATGAAACAATTTGGAGCACTGTCTATTCTGTTCACTGAATATGACACGGTCTGGTGGAACATGGAGCGCCTATACACGAGCGTGGAGGCTGCTCCAACTCACTGAGAGCACCAGAAGTTCTCGAAGATCCATGCCAGGGGCTGAGCTATGATGCTAGCCAGCTCCTTGTGTACACCAGGGTGTAAACTTCTTGCATCATCTGTGGAAATCCATGGTTACATTTACAAACTGTAGGAAATGATTCACTCTGGTCTACAGATCTGCTGTATTTGTGGTGATAGGTATTCCTAAGGCCTGCTGTAGAGCTGTTCAGCCTTCAAAAGCTGACACAAGCGCACATAAAGGACAACACCTAGATTACACTGTCTGTGTTTTTTCCTCTTTGGTTTGTACGTGGTTGAGTACAATATAAGCGAGAGTCTTCTGAAATCCCTAGTGTTTGAATATATAGCCTTGTCTTGGAGATTATTCATTATACCCAGCTAGTGTGCTTAATATTGGATTCCAGCCTTTGGGATCTGGCATTCTATGTAAAACAAACAAACAAAACCCCTCAATTTGAAGCTAATGGTCCAAAGAAAAATAAGCCCTACAACATATACTGCTTTAAGGAGAAATGCAGAGTATTTAAAACTGAGGCAAGCTTGTGCTGGTATTTAGAGCTAAATTGTAGGCAAGGTAAAAGTTGCATTGAGGCAGGATCGTAGATCATACTTAGCAGAAGTTTATCCAATTTGCTAAACAACTCCAGTATCCAAAGAAGGATATTCTACAGTATCCATCTGCAGCCTGAGTGTTTGAATTAACACCAGAACTGTGTTAACAATTTGAAAGTTTTTTTCCAGCTATCCAACCCAATTCTTCTTGGCTGCAAATTAACTTAATTATACCTTGTCTATCTTTCCAGTGACCTTGAGAAACAATTGTTTAATTTTCCTCTTTACAACTTTTTGCATATTGGATACTGTCATGAGGTCCATCCTCACCTTCTCCCTCCCCCTCCCCCTCCGC